AGTATTTACTAGCCAGATGCCCTTCCTGACGACTATGTGGAGTTTGCAGCAGATATTTTCTCTTTGCGCGCTGATAAGAGAAACATCTATCACTGCCTAGGATTGAGCTCTCAACTTTCCAAGTGGGAGGAAAGTGTCTTTACCTCTGGGCCACCGTGTCACTTAAAAAAGGAAGGAAGGAAGAAAGAAATAGAAGTGCAAAAAAGAAAAAAAAATAGAAAAACATAAAAAATAAGAATAAAAGAACATAAATATAAAGAAATGACTTCCTACTTCATTACAAAGCATAAACAATTTTAAGAACTTGCTACCTTCTCTTAAAATACAATTGTTTCTTACAATATCCCGCCTCTTATCTATAAATAAATCCTTAAGGCCTTACCATTTCAGTCCTGATGTCACCAAAAAACTATTAAGGGTTATCAGAGATAACATATATATTTTAGTCTTGATCAAAGAAACCAAGTGTTCCTTTTACTTTTAACAATGTTGGTTTTTAATAGCTTCAAATAATGTCCTAGAACTTGATTTCTTTTGTTCCTTTTCACAAAATTTTTCAACATCTTGACAAGTCTTTTTTTTGTAAATTCAATAAAAATTCAATAGAAAATTATCTAGCTTACTCTCTTGATTTGTTAGTTGTAATATGTCTTTTAATGATTAAGAAGCATGGTGATTCAGTGGCTTAATGACACTAGAGATGGTCTCTGCCCCAGCAGCTCAAGTCTAGCACTTTGTGGCAGGGTGAGCTCCCGTCACTTCCCTCAGTTCTGCCCATCTGATAGTTCGAAGGCATGTTCTATGAGAATAAATAAATAGGTACCACTTTGTGGGGAAGGTTGAGTTAGTGCTCTGTGCAGGCAGTCAGATTCTTACCACCTCTGAACCTTCCTGATTGTGGTGCCTGTTTGCGAGGCATCTCAAAATATATTTGCTAATAGTAAAAATTACTATTATACTTTATATAAAACACTTGTAGTCTGCTATCCAGAAAGATTCCCCACCAAGGCAAAAACATGATTAAAATTTTAAAAACTTATCATTGACAACCAGAGGTTAAGAAAATGGCAGCAATTCAAAAATATACAGACAAAAATAGATCAGTGAAATAATGATTTAAAACCCCAAGAAAGGTTTTCTGAGTTTAAATGATGCAAACTGAGCAGGATCTTAGGAGACTGCACAATCTAGGAAATAGAATGCTGTCCCAACCAAGCCACACAATTAACTGTGACCTACCACTTTATTCAGAGGCAAGCAATCCTTAAGGTTCACGATGTCGTAAACATTGAAAGAAGGAAATATAGTCATGGCTAGCCTTGAGCACTTCTTGTGAGATTCTGGCCTAGCAAGACTTCAGGTAAGCCTAGATTCAAAAACTTAAGACTCTTTTCTATATTGAGATTTGGTTACTCAAGAGAACTTGAGTTTTCTTTCTAGATGACCTGCCATCAAGATCCTCTAAACAGATATATGTATATGATTAATAGTTATCTTTTGAGAGCTGAATGCAATGAGATTTCATTTTAATCTTTGCTGATTAGTTTTCATTTAAAGTGACACTAAAAATTCTATTCTATTCTATTCTATTCTATTCTATTCTATTCCATTCTACTCCACTCTACTCTATCCACTCCACTCCACTCTTACTTCTACTCCACTCCACTCTGGACTTTCTGACAGTGATCTGGCACTTTTCTTTAGACATCCAATGGACCTAATGAGAACCCTAACCATTAATTATATCTAAATACCAGTGTAACCTACAAAGATTTCCAGCTGTTTATACTTGTAAATACATGAACAATGTTAAAACACAAGTTTATCATTAAAAAAGGTAGTTACTGTTACAGAAGATGCATATGGCAGTTGTTCACCACCCCAAGTGTCCTCCAGAACCATTCAAATTTTACTAACTTCTGTTAAGGCCATTAGGGACTGTGATAGAAAATAACTATCTGTAAATCCATACCCATTTCATGCTTTAGTATTGGAAGAATACTGCTAGAAAACGGTAAGGGATACTATGCATTGCACAGAAAGGTTTTTACGTAAAGAAGGTAGTCTTCAGGTTTATTTAGAAGCCAAGCCTTACGGAGTATTATTACACCTTAAAACTAGCAATTGGAATTGCACTGGAAACATGATTGTGATAACTGAATCACCCACAAATGAGATGCTGCATTTTGAAACAGTTGCAGTTTCTGAGTAGTCTTCAAGGGAGAGTCTTATGCAATGAACACTGTGGCAATCCAAGCACGAGGTGATAGAAGCATGAATCACCGCTGACTTTTTGCTCAGTCAAAAGGATCCTGAACCTACAGGTTGGCAGTTTTAAATAGTTTTTAACCATTCCGATTTCAGTTCAGATTTTATGTGCTATTATAAACTGCCAAGAATCTAGAAATCTCAGTCAGCGGTATCGTACATTTTATAAATAAATGAATAAAGTACAGCTTTGCTTGTGAGTGATGGGTGGTTCAACTCACTCAGTTTCAATCTGACTTTTTTTTGCACATTTAAAATAAACAGTAACAAAACTCAACTTATAATGACCTTATTTCAGTATATTTCATTTCTAATATTAATGCCTGGTAACACTACCTGGTATAGTAAGCATCAATTCTTTACAATTTGTCTTAAGACAGTCTATAGGAATAATTGGATGAATTGGAATAATCACCTGCACCATATTTATATAATCTTCATCTTTCTGATATGAAGACTTCTTCACACTTCTCTCAAGCATTTTTATTTTCTTCTATTAGGTCTGATTTAGATAAGGTTTTTTTTTTTTTTGTAAAATTATAGAATGGTAGAGTTGGAAAGGACCACTGCAATTATCTAGTTCAAACATCTGAAAAGTGCAGGAAAATCAAATTAAAACTTTTATAGGCAAACTTTCTCCCTGTTCAGTTGGGCAAGGCTACAATGGACCTGTACAGACAAAATATTGCCCAAAGCCCAGAGTGAATTTTGAGGATGGGTCTAGGCTAGCTATCTGCCAAAACCATCTGGCAAATGGTCATTAAACAACTGGTCATAAACTGAGGATTACCTGTAATGAACAACCCTGGGGCCTATTTTGAAATCCACAGATCACTATCCCCCCCCCCCGTTTTCTGCCAACCAGGTGCATGCAAATTTCCTCCATCACAGATTCATGAAATGACCTAGATTCAATTTTTTAAATTTTTACCAGGTTTCACACTTTCTCTGTTTCTCGTGGCTTCTGATCCTGTTTGTATTTTGCTGGGTTGACTGGACTTTTAAGGACTTCATATTCTTTTTCAGAAAACTCTCAGCAATGCTCTCTCACCCACAGTTAACTTAAAGGGAGATAAAAAGACCTCAGATGTACAGAAATAAGTACTGAAAGCCATGTGCAGTGCACCAAAATTTGATCTATTTACTGCGTTGCCAGTATACATATGTGCATTGATGAGATTTGCAAAGAATGAAATTATTCCCAGTCTCTTAGTTTTTGCGCATTATTCTTTGGTTTCATTCCTGCTCTAACTTTTTAAGCACAGGGATAGAAGCTTTTACAGAGTCCCAGAATGGAAGAATGGATGGCCAAGTGAATGGAATTGGAAGGGATAGAAAATCTAACTCTAGCTTTTTTTTCATACATGGAGACCACTTCTGAACTTTTTGCTTGAATCTGAAAGAAATGAAATTTTAATTTTGGGATTTGACAATTAGAACTGTTTACGATTATACTGTATATAAATACTGTGAACTATTAGAGCTAAAGGTTAATGTATTTTATATTTGTAACTGTAATTAAGGAACTTGGAAGTTCCTTTCCTTTCCTTTCCTTTCCTTTCCTTTCTCCTTCTTACATTTCTCCCACTTTTTTCCTTTTTAAATCCTTTACTCTGTGTCTTCATATTTTATCTTTGTAGAAATCTGATAAATTCTGTATACTCACATGCACACACCTCTAACTTTTAGACATGTACTGAAAGTTGCTAAAAACTTCCTTGAAATGTCTCACTGGCAAATTCCACAAATCCAAGTCCTACAAGCTGCATTGCATCAATATCAAATATGGACTGGTGCCATGATGGCTCCCAAGGCAGAAGAAGAATATCAAGTCAAAACTAATACCATGCCACACACAGTCAAGCAGGACAGTTCAAATTCTGTTACTAGCAACTCCAGGTAGTGCATGGCATCTGCAGATCCTTTGCCAATTGCAACCAGTCTCGATCAACCAATTGTCTGACTCTGTCCCAAAGGTTCAAGAGGCTACTGGCCTTTCCCAGAAAGTCCAGTTGCCTCTTGAACAAGCACCTTTGGGACAACCATGACCTGGATGACTGAGAACTTCCAGAGACATTTGTCTGACTCTGTGTAGTACAAGCAGCGCCCTGTGTTCTTAATCACACAACAGAAGAAGGGTTCCTGCTTTCCAGGGAGAAATCAAGGAGTTGAGGAAGTACGGTTAGTCTACTTAAATATACCCCTGATCGCCAAAGGTTATGAATACATGCTGGCCACAGTGCCTCACAAAGAAAGGTGTATATAAACATGCAATCGGTTTGTTTGATATAACTAGCGTGGTTATAACGAGCGTGGTTTTATGGCAAGTTGCTACTCCTGACGAAACATCTCCTTTGTATTGAGAAAAGATCCACCAGGTTTTAAGGTTTAAAAAACCCTACCCGACAGAGGAAAGGGAGCGATCATGGACAGAACCCATTCATATACAATTTACCATTGACATATCATTTTGGAAAGATTCCTGGGCGATCCCAAAGCCTCCCTCCCCATTCAGCGTCCTGGATTCTCTGAGGATTGCTGGGCTGCTTAATTATTGTCTACTCGCTACTAGTTCATGCCGCCTCCTCCTCCTTCAGCCGCCCAGACTTCTACCAAGAGACCAGAGAAGGCGAGAACTTCTGAATCGTACTCTCGGCATAAGGAAGAGGGGGGAAAAGCCAAGCGGCGGCGGCGGCGGCGGGATCGGGACTGAGAGGTGTGGAGAGCCGTACCTGAGTTTTTGTCCCGCCGGCACGGTGAGTTTATTGAGTTTCTCCATTCCAAGCGATCCGCCTGAGGTGACAAGCCAGTCAGAGGGACTTCCGCCAGCTTCCTAGTTCCAGGAGATCGGGATTCAGAGAGGGGCTGCGGCCGAAAGAAACCGAAGCGATGAAGGATCCTCCGGAGGGGAATTTATCTCCTCCTCCGCGCGTCTTTCGGAGAAGCCGAAAACTGGCTCGAGGCTGGCCGGATTTCACGTTTCGCCTCCGTCATGTGACCGAGCCAGCTTGGTTACTAATAGGGTGTTTGTACAAACATGAAGGAAGATCCACACCTATTTGGGCGTGTGAACCACCCCCGTCCGGCGCTGCGATTGATCTCTTCATTTCCAAGTCGAACGGAGTCATGATTTCGGGAAGGAGGTTCCTAGGCTGGAAGGGAAGGTGACACCTTAATCCTGGAAGAGGTGGCGATTTAACCCTCTTGCCGGGGTTCAGAAGAGCTCCTTTCTCCTGGAAGGTCCTCATATTCAATATCTTTAATATTCTAGGGCAGGGGTCCCCAAACTTGGCAACTTTAAGACTTGTGGACTTCAACTCCCAGAATTCTCCAGCCAGCTTACTGGAGAATTCTGGGAGTTGAAGTCCACAAGTCTTAAAGTTGCCAAGTTTGGAGACTTCTGGAAGTCCACAAGTCTTAAAGTTG